TCAGCAGCCCTCTCCAAAGAGTCTCACCTTTATCTCAGCCCAGCAGGAATTTCCTCTAACTAACATCCACATAAAAGGAGTCACTTACTATCAAAAGTAAACCAACAAGAAGATTACTCTCTCAACTGAGAAAAAAACGACTAAAATAACAGAAAATAGAAACAGGTTTCCAACACGGGCATCTCAGATGCACAAGGACAATATTTCAGTAAAAGCAAGTGTGAAAGGACATGCAGGACCAAGAAAGTCTAAAGAATGATACACGTGATTTGAAAAAGAACGAGGGAGAATTTTTAGAAATGAAAAATTAAATAATTTAAATTTAAAACTCAATTAATTGGTTTGATAGCATCTTATATACAGCAGAAAAATTAGCCAAAAGATTGATGTGAACCAAGTACCTAAAGCCCAAAGAAAAAAGAGAGAAATTTGGACAGAGAGGAGGAGTCCCCGAAGTTCACGTCAGTGAGACAGGCCAACCCACATCAACTCCAAGGCAGAAAACACAGAAAGTGTAAGACAGAGGCATCCTCTGAAGACAAGGGCTATTGAAAGTTACCACACCAGACTCCAGAGAGTTCAATCAATTGGCTACTTGGACAAATCACTTACACCACAGTACAATGAAGTTAAAGAAAATACATTCTAAATAGCCAGAATAGATAAAATATTACTTTCAAATAAGTTAATTGTGATAACTGATTTCTCATCAGCAACCTCAAAGTTTAAAGACAATAGAAAAACACCTTCCAGGGCCCCCAGAAGGTGCAGTCGGTTAGGTATGCAACTCTTGGTTTCTGCTTGGATTAGGATCTCAGGGTCATGAGATCGAGCCCCATGTTGGGCTCCACACTCAGCGGAAAGTGTGCTTGGGATCCTCTCTCCCCCTCTGCCCTTCCCCCAGCTTGTTTTCTCTCTCTATCACTATCTCTCAAATAAATAAAAAAAAATAAAATCTTCCCCAAATAAAGGAAAAGGATAAACAGCTTCTGTGGACTGAAGGACCCTGTCATTCAAACAGAATCATCCATCTATAAAAATATACGTGAAGAACGAGGGAGAGAAGACTTCCATCCCTGGGGACAACGGACTAAGTAACTCTGATCAACCTGTCCACTAAAAACTAATAAAATCAGACAAAATGACATTTTCTCAAAACATAAGACATCTAACAAAATAATGAGGAATTACCAGGCCAAGGTCCAGGAAATAAAGAAAATCCAAATATGTGAGCCCACTATCTGGGGCTACTGCAGCCCAGGGCTTACTGCCCACAGACAGATGGCTGAGAGGTTGAACCATGTCTTTGACAGGCTCTGTGGCCAGCAGGCAGAAGCACTTTGCTCAGGGCACACCAGCAACGGGGATCCTTGTGAACTATCCATATTTGTGAACTGGGACCCCAATGGGGTCCATCCAGTCATCAAGCCATCTGGGTGGCCCAAATTATCACATATTCTGAAATTGTATGAAGGTGATCATGAACAGTTGATGACAGGTATCTGGCCAAAACACACAAAAAATCAACTTTGGCAAAAGACATTTTCACCCTAGGCCTCAAATTATTTCTGCAAATAAGTTTTGAGAGTAATATCCAGCACACAAAGATAACTAGGCAGATAGAGAGAGAAGACAGCATGACAGAAAACCAGCAGGAGCATCAGCCAGGCTCCCTCCCAGATCCCTGATGCTGGGGAGAGCCAGCTGCTAAGTCACCTATGAAGAGGCTCCCACTGCAGGGGTGAAGCTTCCTGCCTCGGACTTGAGAGTGAGCCTGGAAGCACCCACCCCAGTCTGGCCTTAAGATGACGGTAGCCAGCATGCTGATTGCAACCTCACGAGAGTCTCAGAGCCAGAATCACTCAGCTAAGCTGCTTTTGAATTCCTGATCCCAGAAACCACAAGAAAATAAAGCTGTTTTAAGCCAAAAAGCTTGGTGTGATTGGTTATATGCAGTAAGTAACTAAGGCACCCTTCTAGAGAGAGTCTTACCCATACGCACTAGCAGACAAGCAAAGGAATGTTTACAACAGTGTTGTCGTTTATTTCGGCATAAAATTTAGAACAACCCAAATTAGCCAACAACAGATCGGAGAAGTAAACTGGCATTCTGGTCCATGAAAGAGCACATGGCCACAGAGGCCAGTGACCTCCAGCCACACACTGTTGACGGGGATGAAAATCACGGCCTATTATCGTGTGGAAAAGCAACCAACAGAAAACCAAAAGTACACAAACATGAGAACATTGAAAAATCTGTCCTTTGAGGATCGATTATCATGGAAAGATGATACAAAAACCAGAAGATTGGTGGTCACCAGTGGGAAAAGGATGGGGATGGAAGTGGCAGGTTTTCAAATACCAGCTGTGTTCTCTCTTGATCCGGAGTGTGGCTTATACGGAGTTTTCTTAAACTCTACATAGAATATTGTATACACTGCTGTATATACAATACATTTCACCATAGAAGAAATAGTTAGCAACAGTGCCAACACAGGCAATGTGCCTTTGAAAGGCAGACACAGGAAATGTGTGATCCTGCCACAGGTCAGGAATTCGTGAAGGATAAGAAACAGCTTCCCCCCCCTGGCTTGCATTTTGTAAAGAGGCCTTTTCAGAGGCCCTGCTCCAAAACAGAATCTCTCATAGTAGTGACCCCTCTCTCTGTTATGGTGACTTGCTTCTTATCTCCCATAAACATGCACCGCAAAGCTCTCACAGCCTCTACAGTACCCCAACTCTGCCCCATGGGAAGGGGTGAACATTGGCTATTTGTTGAAGAACTGCAAGCTTGAATTTGGGGTTTCGGAGACACTTGTATAATGACAGTTACTAAGAAAGCTCGGAGAAACTGTAAGAAGCACTGGAGTACTCCTGAGAAGATGAACAGAACTGTGCTGTATAAGCCCACAAGCAGTAAGACCTCAAAGGGATTGTGATACCAGTGTCAGGCTAAACAAAAAAGCATCAAACTGGCATTCTGAGTGGATGCCATCCAGTAGGACTCACAAGTTGAATATGGCTAATGTGTTTCCATCAGGATTTCACACACAAGTGCATCTCCCCAGGACAGCTAACATCTCTCCCGAGGGCTGTCTTGACCTCAGCAGACACTGGAGAGGGGCTCTCTTTGCTCCACAGACATTCAGTCTGTGCTGTGGGCCAGCCTTGCTTCACGGGCCAGGATTCTGGAGATGACGCTTCCAAGGCCCCAGTCTAACAGGAGACTCTGCTGGAGATGCACCCATTTCACACCTTAGCAAGTGCGTTCCCCCGAGAATGCCCAGCCAGGCATGGCGGAACACCAGACGGGGGCAAGCCAGGCAGAGGGTGACACTTACCTGATTCCTGCCTTCCAGCGTGCTTCCCCAGTTCTCCCCGCAGGGCTAACTCCCTTCCTTCCTGCAGGTCGACTTTTCAGACCGGCTTGCCCTCAGGGCCACCCTGGGGGCGCGGGGCGGGGGGGGGGGGGGGGCAGGTGGACGCCAGCCCGGCCCACAACCAGCAGAAGGGGGCTGTGCGCACAGGGGTGCTGCCCCACTGGCGAGTCACCAGGCACAGAACAGGGCTCTGCGCTCGCCTGGTCACCATGAGAAGGGGGCGACAGTGCACCTCCCTCGCTCGCGCTGGCCGGTCACCCAGCAGAGGGCGACAGGTGTGCCTCCCTCCCGCACTCGCCGGTCACAGCCCACAGTGGGCAACATTGCCCTCCCGCGCTCTCCGGTCACCCCGCACAGAGGGCAGAGGGGGACGGGTGCGCCTCGAGGGCAGCGGGCCGCGGGGGAGGGGGCGCCGCACTCACTCGAGCTTCTTGAAGGGCTCGCGGCCGGCCGCCACGTACTTGCCGCCCGCCCGCAGCGCCTGCAGCTCGAGCACCGGGTGCCCGCACGTCGGCGTGAACAGGCGCCGCACGCCGAAAGGCACCTCCACCCGCTCAGTCAGCTGGTCCAGCAGCGCCTCGAAGGTGGCCACGGGGCGCCGCGGCAGCACGAACCTCCGGCCCACGAAGAACGCGTCCCCGTTGCGGTACACCAGGATGGTCTTGGCGGGCGTGGTGTCCACCAGCACGTGCGGCCCGCGCGTGCCCATGGCCGCGCCGCCCCAGGGCCACCGGACACCGCTCGCTGCCCTCGAGCCGGGGCGCAGCCAGGGCGTGGGCGCGGGACCGCAGGGCGACCCCAGCTCCCTGCACGCGCTGACGCCAGCCGGCCATTGTGACCGCCTGTGGCCTGCAGCCCAGAGAGGGGCAGGACGATGGTCAGGGGAGGGGAGGCAGGGAGTCGGCGCAGGGGAGCGGCGGGCATCTGAAAGCTTGGACAGGGGAGTGGGGGGGGGAGAGCCAGGACCGGGGAGGGGCCTCTGCGAGCCTAGACAGGTGCGGAGAGCAGAGGGGAAAGGAAGGGAGACAGCCGCTCTCTGTGATCTCTCTGGCAAGGTGGCAGGAATGGGAGGGTGCTGAGGACCACCCCACACTCACCACAGCCTTCCCACTGCGCTTGCTGGCCTCCTATGCTGGGATGGGGGGACGCATCAGGACTGTCTCCATAATCAAAATTCGTCAAGGAAGAATTGTATGGAACCATTCAGAGCCTGTGAGAAACTAGATTTCTCCTCACAGCTGGCACACGGTTCCTCACAGGTCTGACACTCAGAATCCACTTTCATTTGGGAGAGAAAGAACAATTCCAGGGCACAGGTGCCCCTGTGGAAGTTATTCCTTTTCTGGGTAGGGATGAGCCAGTCCTCTTGAGCTGAGACAATGAATGATTCCTGAAATACATTTTTCCAGTGGTTTTGATGGGCTTAAACTTCTGTTGAAGGTGATAGGCTATGGATACGTAGCCACGTCTGCAGACAGAAGAGGCACAGAGTGTGCTACATCAAGATCTCGGAGTGGTTTTGAAAAGTAAACTTTAGGAGACCACCTGCCTTTCACAGCCTCAGCCAATTTTTCACCTACCTCACGCTTCACAGCAACCATAAGTACAGATACCAGCGTGTGAGAGTGACCACTTTATTAAATAACCAGGAATCCCATTGATCTTGGTAAGATTCATTGCTAGAGCCTCTTAAGTTTGGGGTGTTAAGAACACTTCAGAAGATGTGTAGGATCGCGTTGACCAGCGCTCGGCCCTGCGGGGAGTCAGAGGTTGGCTCGGAAGCCCGCTTTCACGGAGAACCTCATCATAGGCTTCTCGCGGGGCCTCAGCAGGCAGATGGAGCTGGGGAAGCCCTTGAGTCGCAGGCGGCCCACGCCACCATCCGGGAAGATGGTGAGCCTTGCGTGTGTGATGACGTCCTGGAGCTCCAGGGTCAGGCTGTCGAACAAGTGACTGTTGTTGGCGGAGAGCTGAAAGAGAAGCAGGGAAGCGCCCTTGTGATAACACAGGGCGAGGCCCATGGAGCCAGCCATCCTGTGGGCTCAGCACCCATGAACCGTGACAGGTACTCACTGATAGTGAGTTGGCTGACCACAGAGAAAAGCTAGTTGGGATCGCAAGCCTGGGGAACACTGACATGAACACTCAGGTCCATGCTGTCTGTGGTTCTTAATAGTCATTGAAGTAGACACACTGATAAGGAAAGCAAGTGACCTCCCAGAGGTTGTCACCCATAACTCCATGGGAGCAACCTTCACACCCCACTCTGACCCGCAAACGACTATCTTCCTACCAGATGGAAGCGGACACTTCCGGAATGTCTCAGCATCTGTTCCACCGAGGACACACGGTTAGAGGTTTGAATATGCTACTCATCCCTTCTAAAAAGTTAATATGCTTCAGAAACGTCTTCCATATACATATATATGGAAATACGTATATGTTCCTTGTACATGATGATTTAAAACAAAACTTGTTAGAAATGCAAAAGTATGAAGAAATAGAGCCTGTGTCTTCATGACGTAAATGAAGATACAGTTTTTAGAAGCTTGTCTGTGTTACTGTTGAACACGGTGCATCTGAGGGACGCGGCCAGGCTGGGGGCCAGCCTGCCCAGCCCCCCATGGGCACCACACCTTGGTGACTGGCAGCAGCGGTTTCCACTTATGGCCTGGAAGCTTCCACTTCTGCTTGATCGTATCTTCTTCCTCCTGAGTTGTCAGGATACAACCATCCAGCTTACAGCTGTCAGGGGAATTGCCTGTCGGAGCAAACGCAGGGTGACTCTCCATTCTGTGTAGCACTTTGGCTTACAGGGTCTTGGACTTTTTAATCAAATCAAGGACCCAGCAGAGAGCAAATTGTTCTCTCTGAACAGAAGCAAAGGTGTGATGTATGTGGGAGAAGGAATGCACCCAGTAGTGATGGTATTGGATTGCCTGATGAAATTTAGGTGTGTGTTTTTCAGAGGAATCAAAATCAACCTGACATCATGAGGCCAACATGAGTTGGCTGGCATGTTGGAGTTTGGACGTACAACATGTTGGAGTTTGGACGTACAGCATTTTACTTGGAAAGGTAAAGGTATCTGATAAGCCTTTATCAGGAAGAACAAATCATTCTCTCTGAACAGAAGCAATTGCAGTTAAGTACGTGCACAGGGATGTGTGGCTCATCTGAAGCTCTTATGAAGCTGAAGATACTTTCCTTATGGCATCATATTTCTTCACATGAGGTACAGAGAAAGACAGAGCTAAGTTAACCAGTCAGTGAGCAGCACCAACCCAAGTGCTGTATTCCAGAGGTGCTAACTGTTCCCCAGGTGAGACACGAGGTCCCAAGTCTCTCTTCTCTCTGCAGTTCATCAGGGCTGTGCCCGGTGGAGTTGGAGGGCCATGCTCTTTGTGGAAAGAACCTTTTTGGGAGTCCCCTAAGACTTTAAGATCAGCAGAGGAGGGCTTGCTGATCAAGAACCTGACAGAAGGAGCATCTGGGTGGCTCAGTTGGTTAAGCATCTGCCTTCAGGTCAGGTCTTGATCCCACAGTCCTGGCATCGAGCCCCATGTCAGGCTCCCTGCTCAGCAAGGAGCCTACTTCTCCCTCTCCCTCTGCCTGCCTCATCCTCTACTTGGGCGCTCTCTCACTCTCAAATAAAAAAAATAAAATCTTTTAAAAAAAATCTGACAGGAAAAAGAAAACTGCATTGTTCTCATGCCCCCTGCAGCTCATCTCTTAAAACTGTGATCTCCGGGGTGGGTGAGCACACCCCTGGGTGCACACAGAAACCCAACAATGCAGGAGGAGAACATTAAACCCACTATTTCTGATTGCATTCCTTTAATATGTATACACATGCACATGTACTTATTAGGCTTTGTGTATTTGAGATGACAGCTGGATCCTGACATGCCCCACACCCCAGGGCTGCCGTCAAATTGTGATGCACAGAACCTGGACAGCAAATAGCAGCAAGTTCCTGATGGAATAGTCCAGACACCCTGGTAACATGGACTTACTGTTACCTGGTTTTAACTAAACTATCATTCACAGAATTAATAAGTGATTTTAAACTATTCATGCAGACACCCATGAATTAAAGATACCACCAGAAATGCAAGCACCTACAAACCAGGAGAAAAGAGTAGAGCTGACATCACCACTGACCCAGGATGAGCTCTTCATCAGCTGTGGTATTTAACCCAAATATACAGATGTAGTGAAAAGAAGGGGCACCCGCACCCCAGTGTTCATAGCAGCAATGTCCACAATAACCGAACTGTGAAAGGAGCCGAGATGTCCTTCAACAAATGAATGGATAAAGATGATGTAGTCCATATATACAATGGAATATTACTCAACGTTCAGAAAGGATAAATACCTAATTTTGTATCAACATGGATAGAACTGGAGGGGATTATGCTGAGTGAAAGAAGTCAAGCAGAGAGTCAATTATGTGTGGATACATTCATGTGTATGTGTCAATTACACTCATGTGTGGAACATAAGGAATAGCATGGAGAACCACAGGCAAAGGGAGAGAAAACTGAAGGGGGGGTGGGGAATCAGAGAGAGAGACAAACCATGAGAGACTCTGGACACCAGGAAACAAACTAAAGTTTATAGAAGGGAGGGAGGTGGGAGGATGGGATAGCTGGGTGATGGTTATTAAGGAGGGCACATGTGGTGATGAGCACTGGGTGTTATATGCAACTAATGAATCATGGAACACTACATCAAAAATTAATGATGTACCATATGTTGGTTAACTGAATATAATAAAAAGAATAAAACTAAAGAAAGAAAGTAAGAAGAAAGAAAAGAAAAGAAAAGTGAAAACAGTGACCCAACAATCAGATCTAAAATAGTCTTCTAAAAATAGGTCACAATGATAAATACTTCTTTAAATAATTCGCTTAAGTCCACTACCACTGAAGAAGAGCTCCACTTTAAATATATATTGTGTCTTTCATGGGGTATCACAATGAATTTTAAAAAAAAGCCATTGATATACTGTCTGCAAGAAACTCATTTTAGACCCAAAGACACCTCCAGACTTAAAGTGAGGGGGTGGAAAATAATCTACCATGCTAATGGACATCAAAAGAAAGCTGGGCTGGCAATCCTTATATCAGACAAATTAGATTTTAAGCCAAAGACTATGAGAAGAGATAAGGACTCCATACCATACTTAAAGGGTCTGTCCAACAAGACCACCTAATAATTTTAAATATCCATGCCCCTAACATGGGAGCAAACAATTATATAAACAAACTAATAACAAAATCAAAGAAACACATCAATAATAATACAATAATAGTAGGGGACTTTAACACCCCCCACCCACCGAAATGGATAGATCATCTAAGCAAAAGGTCAACAAGGAAATAAAGGCCTTAAATGACACACTGGACCAGATGGACATCACAGATACCTTCAGAACATTCCATCCCAAAACAACAGAATACACATTCTTCTCTAGTGCACATGGAACATTCTCCAGAATGGATTACATCCTGGGTCACAAATCGGGTCTCAACTGGTACCAAAAGACTGGGACCATTCCCTGCATATTTTCAGACCACAGTGCTCTGAAACTAGAACTCAATCACAAGAGGAAAGTTGGAAAGAACTTAAATTACCTGGAGGCTAAAGAGCATCCTACTAAAGAATGAATGAGTCAACCAGGAAGTTAAAAAAAATTTTTAAAAATCATGGAACGGGGCACCTAGGTGGCTCAGTAGGTTAAAGCCTCTGCCTTCGGCTCAGGTCGTGGTCCCAGGGTCCTGGGATTGAGCCCTGCATCAGGCTGTCTGCTCAGCAGGCAGCCTGCTTCCCTTCCTCTCTCTCTCTCTGTCTGCCTTTCTGCCTACCTGTGATCTCTGTCAAAGAAATAAATAATTAAAAAAAAAATCATGGAAACAAATGAAAATGAAAACACAACCGTTTGAAATCTTTGGGACACAGCAAAGCTGGTCCTGAGAGGAAAATACATAGTGGTACAAGTCTTTCTCAAAAAACAAGAAAGGTCTCAAATACACAACCAACCCTACACCTAAAGGAGCTGGAGAAAGAACAGCAAAGAAAGCCTAAACCCAGCAGGACATGAGAAATAATAAAGATCAGAGCAGAAATCAATGAAATACAAACCAAAAGGACAGTACAACAGATCAACAAAACTAGGAGCTGGTTCTTTTGAAAGAATTAATAAGATTGATAAATCCCTGGCCAGACTTCTCAAAAAGAAGAGAGAAAAGACATGAATTAATGTCTTTTAATAAAGTCATGAATGAAAGGGGAGAGATCACAACCAAGACCAAAGAAATACAAGCCATTATAAGAACATATTATGAACAACTATACATCAGCCAATTTGACAATCTGGAGGAAATGGATGCATTCCTAGAGACGTATAAACTACCAAAACTGAACCAGGAAGAAATAGAAAACCTGAACAGACCCAGCACCAGTAAGGAGATTGAAGCAGTTATCAAAAGTCTACAACAAACAAGAGCCCAGGGCCAGACAACTTCCCAGGGGAATTCTAGCAAACATTTAAAGAAGAATTAATACCTATTCTCCTGAAACTGTTCCAAAAAATAGAAATGGAAGGAAAACTTCCAAACTCATTTTATATGGCCAGCATTACCTTGATCCCAAAACCAGACAAAGGCCCCTTCAAAAAGGAGAATTACAGACCAATATCCCTGATGAGCATGGATGCAAAAATTCTCACCAAAATTCTAGCCAGTAGGATCCAACAGTACATTAAAAGGGTTATTCACCATGACCAAGTGGGATTTACTCCAGGGCTGCAAGTTTGATTCAATATCCGCAAATCAATCAATGTGATACAATACAATAATAAAACAAAGAACAATAACAATAGGATACTCTCAACAGATGTTGAAAAAGCATTTGACAAAATACGGTATCCTTTCTTGATCAAAATTCTTCAGAGTGTATGGATAGAGAGTAAATACCTCAATATCATCAAAACCGTCTATGAAAAACCCACAGCAAATATCATTCTCAATGGGGAAAAACTGAGAGCTTTTCCCCTAAGGTCAGGAACACAGCAGGACTGTCCACTATCACCACTGCTATTCAACATAGTACTAGAAGTCCTAGCCTGTTTCTTTTTGTTAAAAGAAATAAAAGGCATCTGAATCAGCAAAAAAGTCATCAAACTCTCACCCTTTGCAGATATGATACTTTATGTGGAAAACCCAAAAGACTCCACTCCAAAACTGCTAGAACTTGTACAGGAATTCAGTAAAGTGTCAGGATATAGAATCAATGCACAGAAATCAGTTGTATTTCTCTACACCAACAGCAAGACAGAAGAAAGAGAAAATAAGCAGTCCATCCCATTTAGAGTTGCACCCAAAACCATAAGATACCTAGGAATAAACCTAACCAAAGAGGAAAAGAATCTTTACTCAGAAAACTATAAAGTACTCATGAAAGAAATCAAGACACAAAGAAATGGGAAAGCATTACATCCTTATGAATTGGAAGAAGAAACATTGTTAAACTGTCATGCTACCTAAAGCAATCTACACATTTTATGCAATCCCTATCAAAATGCCATCAACTTTTTTCAAAGAAATGGAACAAATATCCTAAAATTTATATGGAACAAGAAAAGACCCCAAAAGCCAGAAGAATGTTTTTTCTCTTTTTATTTTTATTTTTTAAATTTCTTTTCAGAGTTCCAAAATTCATTGTTTATGAATCACACCCAGTGCTCCATGCAATACGTGCCCTCCATAATACCCACCAGCAGGCTCACCCAGCCTCCCACCCTCTCTCCTCCAAAACCCTCTGTTTGTTTCTCAGAGTCCACAGTCTCTCATAGTTCATTTCCTCCTCCAATTTCCCCAACTCATTTCTCCTCTCCATCTCCCCATGTCCAGAAGAATGTTTAAAAAGAAAACCAAATTTGGTGGGTGGCATCACAATTCCAGACTTCAGCTCTGTTACAAATCTGTCATCATCAAGACAGCATGGTACTGGCATAAAAACAGACACATAGATCAAAGGAACAGAATAGAGAGTCCAGAAATGGACCCTCAACTCTAGGGTCAACTAACCCTTGACAAAGCAGGAAAGAATGTCCAATGGAAAAAAGAAAGTCTCTTCAATGAATGGTGTTGGGAAAATTGGACAGCCACAGACAGAAGAATGAAACTGGACCATTTCCTTACACCACACATAAAAATACACTCAAAATGGATGAAGAGCCTCAATGTGAGACAGGAATCCATCAAAATCATTGAGAAGAACACAAGCAGCAACCTCTTTGATCTCACCCACAGCAACTTCTTCCTAGAAACATCGCCAAAGGCAAAGGAAGCAAGGTCAATAATGACTACTTGACCTTCATTAAGATTAGAAGCTTTTGCACAGGAAAGGAAACAGTCAACAAAACTAAAATACAACTGACAGAATGGGAGAAGATATTTGCAAATGACATATCAGATAAAGGGCTAGTATCCAAAATCTATAAAGAACTTATCAGACTTAGCATCCAAAGAAGAAATAACCCAATCAAGAAATGGGCAGAAGACATGAACAGACATTTCTGCAAGGGGACATCCAAATGGCCAAAAGACACATGAAAAAGTGCTCCGCATCACTCGGCATCAGGGAAATACAAATCAAAACCACAATGAGATATCACCTCACACCAGTCAGAATGGCTAAAATTAACAAGTCGGGAAACAATAGATGTTGGCGAGGATGTGGAGAAAGTGGAACCCTCCTACACTGTTGGTGGGAATGCAAGCTGGTGAGCCACTCTGGAAAAGAATATGGAGGTTCCACAAAAAGTTGAAAATAGAACTACCCTATAAGTCAGCAATTGCACTTCTGGGTATTTACCCTAAAGATACACATGTAGTGAAACAAAGGGGCATGTGCACCAAAATGTCTACAGCAGCAGTGCCCATAATAGCCAAACTATGGAAAGAGGCTTGATGTCCATCAACAGATGAATGGATAAAGAAGATGTGGTATATATATACAATGGAATACTATGCAGCCATCAAAAAAAATGAAATCTTGCCATTTGCAACAACATGGATGGAACCTGAGAGTATTATGCTAAACAAAATATGTCAATCAGAGAAAGACAGCTATCATATGGTCTCACTGATATGAATTTGAGAAACAAGACAGAAGATCATGGGGGTGGTGAGGGGAAAATGAAACAAGGTGAAACCAGAGAGGGAGACAAACCATAATAGACTCTTAATCCCAGGAAACAAACTGAGGGTTGCTGGCAGTGGGCGGGAATGGGGTGGCTGGGTGATGGACAATGGGGAAGGTGTGTGCTATGGTGAGTGCTGTGAACTGTGTAAGCCTGAAGATTCACAGACCTGTACCCCTAAAACGAATAGCACATTATATGTTAATAAAAAAGAAAAAAATATTTATGTGTGTGTGTGTATGTATGTATGTGTGTCTTGGTGTGGTAACTGAGTGAAGTCGCAATGATTCCCAAGACGTTTAAACTTTAAGGCATCCAAAATACGAGGATAAACTGCCACCATTTACTGACAACTAAACAATCACAACACCCCCCAATCCAATATGTATGAAAATTTCATCCAACAGTTATAAAAGTTTAATATCCGCTCTTGAACTTTGCCGATATAATGACACATATACTTTCATAAGAAAGTAGGTTTTGAATATCAGGGGTGCTTGGGCAATTTTTCTTTTTTAATGGAAGAGCACAGTTTTGAAAATGTGTAGCCCCTTGTCTTAAAAGTACAGTCTGGAGCGGAAATGGTCACCCCAACCAATATGCTTTGTCCCCTACCCCAAAATAAGAAGATGCCATCCAGTTCTTGTCATGTCCTAACCAAGGCTATTTCACAGTCTTTCCAAGTGAGATCCAGGCCCCGGTAATAAAGGGTCTTCACAGAATCTCGTCCAACTTTGGGGGTCATCCAGTTCACTCTGACATTTTATAAAGACAAAAAGTAGGGGACCAAGAGTCAGAGGATGTTGCTCAAAACCACACATCAACTAAGGGTAAAAGCTGAGTCCAAGTCGCTGTCCTGAGCTCCACTCCCACAGGACCACTGTTATCTCTACAACCAGCATCGGGTCATATGCCTTCCCTGATGGCATCACACTTACCTTTAAAATGTGTTGTATCAATTTCTATTTGCGTTATTACTCCAGGGTGTGCCAATCGGAAAACTGCCCATTCACAGCCTGGAACAAGGAGAATGCCGTTCTCGTCATTCTGGAATCCAAAAGGAAGAGAGAGAGAGAGAGAAGCCAGCTTGGTGCCATTTGAGAAACTAATTCTGGAAACCAGCAAGTGAAAAATGTTGACATGTACTTAGGATATTTCTTTTACCTCTTACTATAAAAGAGTGTTTCCTAGGCCCTGATATGTAAATTACTTTGTGTTAATTGCCGCTTTGCCTAGTATTCCTTAAATGCCTCATGCGGACTCGAGTTTAACGGGCAATTGGTAAGTTTTTATAAATTTCTTACATGATTTTCTATGTCAATTTTAAACTCATGTAGAAGGGTCTGTCTAACCATGCCCCCGGGTCCCCTGATAAATTTGTTTCAACCTTTCAGTGAAATTATGTTCTTGGTCAAATCCATACCAATATATGATCTGCCTCCAAACCTTAGTTTCTGACAACAGCATTATGTTCATTTTCATTGGAAGCCTTGATTGACATGAAAACTGACCCAAGAAAGGGGGTTTACAAGTAAGGTTTCAATGGGATTAACACAGAGAAAGGTGTTTTATTTGCTTTTGTTTTGACTTTCACATCTCACATTAGTCACTGGCCAAAATGTTTAACAGCTGAGCCATCTCTAGGGTCCCATGGCCACACGTCCCTGTCCCTGATCTCATTCAGGGACACACAGATACCAAAAATGATTAAACTACTGTTTTCTTCTCCAGGTTAACCGAAGAATTTATCAATGGGTTTTCTATCATTAAATTGTAGACCCTCACTTCTTTATTAAACAAATGGCATTGGGGGATGCCTGGGCGGCTCAGTCTGTCAAGCATCCAAATGTTGATTTTAGCTTAGGTGGTGATCTCAGGGTTGTGAGATTGAGCCCCAAGTAGGGCTCCATGCTCAGTGGGGAGACCGCTTAAGGATTCTCTCTCCCCCTCTCCTTCTGCCCTCCCCACATGCTCACTCTAGCTCTCTCTTTCTCACTCTAAAATAAACAGTGGCACCTGGGTGGCTCAGTGGGTTAAGCATCTGCCTTTGGCTCAGGTCATGAACTCAGGGTCCTGGGATTAAGCCCCTCATCGGGGGAGACGAAGTCTGCTTCTCCCTCTCCCTCAGCCCCTGCTCATGCTTGCTCTCTCTAATAAGTAAATAAAATCTTTCTTAAAATTTTAAAAATAAAAAAATTGGACAGGGACGCAACAGGACAGGATGTGATCGTGACAGCGGGGAATCTGGAAAACACAGAGAACTACTTCTGGAACATTGCCTGAGGGGTTTCTGAAATAAGCATTTCCTTGAGGTAAGTTAAAACAAGATCTAGAAAACTTCACTGTAGCTGTTTTGGACTTCTTACTTCTAATATTGGAGGCCTGTCCAGCCTTCTCGCCGTCTCCCAGCCATCTGCCATGGACCTGGGCTTGCCAACTCCTGCCAAGAATGACACGGTTTAATGGGAATGTCACAAGATTTTATCTTAAATGTGAGAATGAATGCGTTGGCATCATTAAATCACAGACCCCATGGTCCTGAGCATCACTACACAAACCATTTTCATTCAGCTTAATGTTTTGGTAAATTTGCATACAGCCAGAGGGTTGTAAGTTTTACTTTTCCCTTTAAGCCAAAATTAAGAAGGAAAATTGCTATTGATTTACTTCATATCATAAAGGCATCAAATCTTGTAGCTAGATGGTTAATTTCACCCACTCCTGCACTTCCTCTTAAATCATTCATACTATGTGGGATGCTTAATGCTGGGGCCCAGACATCCCAAATAAGGGCCAGCTGCCAGAACATCATCTTACCTATCATATTGTTTGGATGCCCAAAGTGTGCATTGCTGAATCCTACACAGGCACCCCCGTGAGCGATGGCCACCAGGTCAAATGGTTCTTTGGGATCAGTTGCAACCCAGTCTTTCTGTCCAGTACCATACACTCTAAGACGTGCAATTCCACCATCTGAAAAGGCAAGAGGCCATAGTTACTTCTTACTTGAAAAGGTGGCTGCTTCTAGGTTGTAAACAACATAGCCCTCCACAACCTGTCTGCTCTGTTTCTCAAATACACCAACCCTACTGCCCCAGGGCCTTTGCACCTACCATTCCTTTGTACTGGAACAAATTTCCCAGCTCTCCAAAAGACTGCTTTTCTTAGGTCTCACCTTTAGTGCCATGGTCTCAGAAAGACTTTTCCTCTCACTCTCTAGCTACTTCTTTCCAGCTCTGCCTGGCTCTGCCTGATTCCCCAGGTTTGCTGTATCACCCCTCCCATATTTACTTCAGAGTTCAAGTCAAAGTCTTATCAACTTGTCATTCTACTTGTTCAAGCTCCTGCTGATATCAGTCTCTCAGAACCAGAGTATAAAAAACTTTAAAAGCTAGAATAATGATCTATCTTGATCTTTTCTCTATCATCTCCATCTAGAACTGGTCCTGGCACATAGTAGGTACTCACACTTTTTTAAATTGGATCAATAATTCCAAGAAGGTCAAAAAACAATCAATTGGGAAATTCACCATAGATATAATGTTTGATGCCACAAATTAGCATTGCTAAATCCTACACAGACTAATATGAGCGTTATGTTTTTATTTTTATAACAACACATTGCTTAGCAATACGACTGAGAATAGAAAAGATAATAGTCACAAAACTCGATCACTTCTGAGAGCCACAGCAGCCAAGATTAGGCCTGCAGAGCAGAGAGTACCTGCCGACATCAACTCACATTATCTGATTCTAATAAAGTGAATGTTTTTATTTGTTAGACCAGTACTTCCTGGACGATGGGAGCAAGCTTTGTATATAGAGCTTTTTCCCATTAATCAGAGTATTCTACAGAAACAAAGCCCTATAAATTTTTACATGAAAAATTTGATGAAACTGAGGGATCTGAAAAAATTTCAGTAGAAGAGTCTTGACATTTATAATAAATAAAACCAGACTATGTTAGCATAACACCCTAAAAATATACTAGAGGGAGTAGTTTAGCAGAAGCTAGCCTATGTCACCTCTGCTCTGGTTCACTGGACATGGTGATCAACTTTGATGGTTTAGAAGATGCTTGTCTGTTGAGTGTAAAGCTGACTTGATATTTTAAAAAATAAGGTTCTTCTTTACAGAGTTAACATCTAGCCTCAGCATTAATCAAAACTATGAAGGACATTAGACGCGTCCCTCCACGCTCTGAGGGTAATTCATTTAAAGCAAATTGTTGTCACCCTACGTGTCCCGTCAGGTTATCCTACTGCTTCCTTCCCCTTGACACTTGGACCCCAGGAGAAAATATTTGCAAATCATGTATCTGGTAAAGGATATGTACCAGGATATATAAAGAACTCTTACAATTCAATAATAAAAAACAACTTAAGAGTGGACAAAAGACACTTTTCAAAAAAAAACATGTTTATAAATACAGGTGTACACGTGCACATGCATATATAAACATTTCCAAATGGCCAAAGTAAGGAACTGAAAACATGCTCACCATCATTGGTCATTAGAGAAATGCAAGTTAAACCCACAGTGAGATACCACTTCTCACCCTCTAGGATGTCTACAACCGAAAAGTCAGATAATGGCGAGTGTTAGCAAGGATGTGGAGAAATTGTAATCCTTCATGCTGCTGGTGAGAATATAATATAATGCAGTCGCTTTAGAAAACAGTCTGATAGTTCCTCCCACCAATTTAAAACACAGTTACTCTGTGACCCAAAAATTCCAATCCTACATATATGCCCAAATGAAAAACTTGTACAGGAATATTTATAGCAGCATTACCCATAGGTAATGGGTTTCCAACAGGTGGAAACCCCAAATGCCCATCAACTGATGAATGGAGAAACAATGTGGTTTCTCTGTGCCATGGAATATATTCTGCCATGAAAATGACAAAATGCTCTTAAGAATGCTACAACATGGATGAGCCCGGAAAACACGCGGGTGAAGGACGCAAGTCACAAAAGTCCATTTACATGAAATGTCCAGATGGTCAAGCCTGTCAAGACAAAGTAGTTCATGGTTGCTGAGAGCTGAGGGAGATAAGGGTTGGTAGTAAGGGTATGGGACTTCCTTCTGAGGTGATAAAACCTTCTAAAATTGACTGTAGTGATGGTTGTACTTGGCTGTACATTTCCGTGGACTTAACGCCATATACTGACATATATTATAAACCACTGAACTGTGCACCCCAAGTAAGTGAATTACATGGAAGGTGAATTACATTACAATAGAGCTGTTAAATAAAAGAAAAGGACGGTCATCTGCACACACTACTTGATCTGCTAGTGTGCCCAGCGAAACAGAAATCATTAGGAGATATTTAACCTAATACAGCTCAGTTCCGTCACTTCCTGACGTGATGCCTTTTCAGTAACTACCAATGGAAGGTTGGGTTGGAACGAGAGTTTCCTGGAGCACAGAAAGGGCAAATCATAACCCTGAAATGTTAGAGTGATGAGTGACTTCACTCTGAAACATGCCCACGTTAAGTAAAGAAGAACCACAACGGCAGATGGGTCTACGTCATATTTACCCGGGAAAATGTTGAGCCTTACGTGACTCCATCTCTGCTGGGAATTCACGGGAAAGTAATTGTGGCTGGAAGCAGGCTTTCCTGGCTTGAGCTCTGTCATGGGCACCAGGTAATTCCAGTCGTCGGACTTCAGCTAGCAATAAATATGAAGATGTTAGCCACTGCTAACATGAAATTTTAGTTCCTGGGAACTCGTCGTAGTGCTCACGTGAGGACTACAGGTAGAACTACTGTGGAATAAAAATTGATGACGGATGCCTCATAAAACACTTAATAAAAATACTAATAAAGATTAAGTCCCAGGTTTAATAAGCAGATTAAAGGCCTGGGTGTTTTTCATCCTGATTAAAATAGCCACTGGGTGAGGGCAGCAGGAGTGCAAGCAGGGAGCTTGGGAACGAAGGGCAAGGTCTGAGATTCCCTCTGGGGATTCTTAGAAGGAACCAGAATAGTGACGTGAACATTGAGTAAAAACCGGGCCATCCTGTTGACCAGTTGACCTGAACGTTGTGACAGTTTTCTCTCCATCCCTACTCCTCAAACGGTTGCTGTTATTTATTTTCCAGTCTACTGTGATCAACACTTTTGTAAAACACAGTATAAATTACTAGACAAACTAAAAAACAAGAATGTACCAGAACACAAGCCCAAGTTGTTGGTCTATCAGATTCATCAGGCATAAAGTCTATGTATGAAGTACGTAAGCTGGGCACCCGCGGGCTCGGTTGGATGAGCCTCTGCCTTCAGCTCGGGTCACGATCCCGGGGTCCTGGGATCGAGCCCTGCGTCAGGCTCCCTGCCCAAGGGGAAGCCTGCTTCTCCTTCTCCCACTCCCGCTGCTTGTGTTCCCTCTTTCGCTGTGTCTCTCTGTCAAATAAATACATAATTTTTTTAAAATACGTAAGCTATTACTGTGGATTTCTGTATTTATCTCATCAGGACAGCAACCAGAGGACGAGCCCAAGGAAGCAGAGAGCTCTGAGACCCACTACTGCAGACCTCGCCCGGGCCACAGCTTTCCCTTGCGCAGGGGTAGCACAAACCCCTCGAGAAGCACCAGCAAAGTCCCGCTGGGCCAGTAAACGAGGGCAGGTGTACCAGGCTGAATGCTGTGGCCAGGCGAGCGGAGCCCATCCCTTGCCACCCGGCCGCCACGGATGGCTCCCCCCACTCCCCACCCCGCCACATGCAGGCGCACCTTGGCAACAGCCTCAAACTCCTCTGGCGTGGCCGCGGCTCCCATCCTGGCGCCTCTCTGTGGGATTTCTGGTTGTTTATCTGAAGGTAGATTGACCAGTAGGGTTAGGGTTCATGCCCGGAATCAAAGAGAATACACTCCCCTAGTGGGCTGTATGTTCATTTTCGTTTTGCCAAATAACCCCGAAGATGACACCTCAAGTCAGAGCATCAGATGACCACAGTAACAGACACAAGTTGAAGTTCCTCGCTATTTAAAACACTAAGTAACTTCAAAAACTCCTGCAAGATGCTTGGTAGGACACTTGCTTGTCAAAACAGTAGGTACCATTTCCAAGTCCAATGGCAACAAACGTATCATGACTAGAGGGTTTAGAGGTTGGATCAGTGGAAGTTCTGGAACATCGCCAGGTCAGTTCCCAAAGCAGGACTCCCCCCATGGCATCTTGGAGTTGACATTGGGGTGATATCTCAGACAATTGCTGGGCTTGGAGATGACATCTCACTGTTTGTCCTTAGTCATTTCCTGCCTCCAGAGTAGCATCTCTCCATTATCCCCTAACTTCTCAGGTTCCCCCCCGTCCTCAGGAGCACGGCCCATCCTTCCACAGAGCCTCATATGGGGCTGTGGACGCTGGGCTCTCAGCGTCAATTTGCCAACAGACATGATTTATCATCCCTAAATACAGTTATATACACACACATAATGGTACCTGTTTCTAAAAGGACCAGCTGCAGATTGTGCCAATTCAAGACTACAAACCCAGGCCTAACTTGCAGAGCCTGTCCAATTCATGCGGTCCCGCACCCCACACAGCGGCAGGGACCCTCTCCGAAAACCCCGTGCCTACGGCATCATTACGCACCCTGGGAGAGCAAAAAGGAAGCTGGTGGCCCCCCCCACCATCCACAGCGGGCCCAGACCTGGCTCCACACTGTCCGGTGTCCCACTCCCTGCCACCCTCACTTGCAACCTGCTCCCCAGACCTTACGGTGCCAACAGGGCGCACCCCTGCAAGGGGCCAGAAGAGGGTGGGAGTAACAAACCCAACCTCTGGTCAAGCTAAAAACCAGAACTCATAGAACCCTACGCTGGGAATCCAAGTTCTACAGCTCAGTGGCAGTCAAGTGGCCTTGGACAAGTCGCTGGACCTGTGAGGATGGGCAGTGCACAGCAGGGGGCTGGCCCGGATGACCCCACCTGCCCCCCATGCCCATCTGGGGGCCGGTGGTTCCCAGGGCACCTTCTTCCAAGTTGGCTGCTTGAATGGATATCCGAGGAGCATAATCTCCCATGAGGTAGGAAATGTCCACGTCAAAGCCTCGGACAACCCCTTGTATCCCCAGCTTGATGATGCACCAGTCGTGACCTGCGAGACGTAAACAAGGACGGCCCCGTCAGGTGAAATGTGGGCTCGAACAGAGCTGAAGACCAGCAACAGCGGCCCCTCCTCCCACCACAGAAAAATGTACACAGGGGGAGGCTCCGCTGTGACCAAAAGGTCTCCTGTAACGTGGCCAAGTGTGGCCGCAGTGCCCCACAAGAACCCGTGTTCCAGGCCCAGCAGGACATACACAGGCCGTGGCTCCAGGGAGACCCGGTTCTGGTTCCAAAGTGAACACTGCCTCTCTGAAACCCGTTTCTACAACAGCGAATTAGAGAGGAGATCAACCTCCAGAAAGGTCAAGTGTGACTAGACCCCGCCCAGGCGTTCAGGGTGGGCCTGGGCCTCCTGGAAACGGCACGCTCACCTGGGGACTTCCTGTGCCCCCCGTCCCCGGCTTAGACTTAGCTGAAGTCTCAGAAGTCTCCATGGCACCGGTCACCAGGTAATTCCTGGTTACTCACAGTCCCATGCAGACCCGCCTTTAAATGCCCAGATGCACTGGAATCCAGTCACGTCTGGAGCCCCTTAGAAGCACCCAGCATCTCTGTAACACTTGAGACAGACCCAGAATAATCAGTTATTAGCCTCATGCTGGGTCCATTTGCTTTTACAAGCATTTCTTCAACTTTAAAAGGAGTATTTTGGTTGGGCCTGATAAGCAGCACTGAAGAAAAGTAGGTCCTTGGGTGACAGGAGGTGTGTGCAGTGGCAGAGGGAGCTGTGTCCGATCCCAGCTCTTCTCCAGAGTGACAGGACCGGGGCTGAGGGAGTGAGGCTGCTTCCATGGCAGCCTCGTGGGGACAAGAGCAACTGCCCCAAGGATCGGGGGTGCAGGCCCACCACAGATGCTCCCCACCCTGCTCCCGCAGCCTCGCCAGCACTCATGCATGCCCTCCTTCCCCCTGCAGGGGCACAGGGGACCCCTTCCTCCATCGTCAGAGCTGGTGTTCAGAAGGGACAGCCGAGATACAGAGCGTTCCAAGGGCCCAGGACAAAGCTGAGCCGAGACGTGCACTGGCTTTCTGACCCGTGTTTAAGCTTCGCCACAGTGAAAGAAAGAGACATCTCATTACCTGGAGTCCTCCTCCTCCTGGTCTCCCATCCATCCAGCCACTTCCCAAACTCGGCGTGCTCCTGTTCTCTGAAGCCTGGGCGGTCCTTCTGAAGCAAAGACGCACCAGGCCACCGTTAACGCCCACAGGAGGGCCGGGCTTCCAGCACGTGCACTCCCACCCCAAAGGGACAGGTTGGATTATCATAGGTAAAAGCAAAGCGATCTAAATGTGTGTCAGCACAGGAAAAAGTTCCGCTGGGGTGAGGGACCCGGTGGTGGGCGGTGGGGGGGCCACCAGACTGCGGTCCCTGGGCACGGGCAGAGCACGCACACTTCCGCGAGATGTGTCCCGTGACGTCAGGTACTTTATAAGAACATGTCTACAAATTCAAAAGCAAACAGCAGTACCCCTTCCTACAGGCGGAATTTATATTTATATATTTATATTGATATATTTATAACAGAATGAAATGTACTCGGAGACGAGGTCTGTCTCCCAGCAGCGCTAATTCTGCACAGGGAGGCGCGGGGCTTCAGCTTCACCCGCGACTTTTTTCTCAGGAAGAAGGTGTTTATGCGCACACGCGTGTGTTCTACGACTATGCATACGCAGCACACACACCTGTGTGCAGACACACACGCGCGTATCGAACACACACACATGCAAGTGTCATGGAGGAGAACAGGCCCCGCTCTCGTCCCGTGCCCTGCCGAGCCCAGCACCTCACAGACAACCACACTTCACCACGTGGCGTGCGTCTTGTCGACTGCTCTGTGTCCGTACCATACGCAGGAACTCCCGTCGTGGGCATCTAGAGCTCCAGCCCCTTCTCCTCGGGCCACAGGTCACCCACATCTGGACGCTCGTATCACGGGCTCTGTAACCAGGTTCCCATCGATGGCCATTCCGGTCGGTCCCCCCCGCCCCGGACAACCCTGGAATGGCTGTTTTCCACATATCTCTGCCTATTTATGCAAGTAATATCAATCTGTGGGACAGCTGGGTCAAGGCATGCATGCATTTACGTTTCCTCTAGACAGACATGGTAAAACGAGAAGAGCTTGGCGTGCGTTAGCTGCATGACCTAGAACAAGTCAATCAACATCTCTGTTCTTCATTTCAGCATCATTTTCTGCGAGGAGTACTTTAATAGAGACAACCTGCCCTTAACGTGCTCTAGACCTGGCTAGCTCTTGCCCAGGAGAGTAACCCTGTCACCAGACCGACCAGAAGGCCAGCGACCACTCAGAGGACAGCAGCCTGGCCACAGGCCAAGACTCCGGCTGCCGTCACACATGGCGTGCGTGTGCGTGACCTCTGTGCACACCTGTGCTTATCTGCCCACTTGCAAGAATTCAGCCCCCACAGCCAGTATAACAAGGTCCCGGGATTCTAGCCAAGGCTCCATTTCTTCCCCTTATTTGTCAGTGTTTTCTGGGGGTTTTGTCCATCTTTTAGTAAGCATGTCCTACACTTTTGTAAGTAGGCAGGTAACACAACTTCCAGACATCCGAGAGGCGTGCCAGCACAGGTCACAGATTACAAACTCCACGTTCGACAGAGGACAATATACAAGGATCTCAGTAATTTCCCCACAGAGCAATGCAGTCCCAAACTGCTGTGTCAGGTGCCGTCCGTTTCCAGTGTGTCTTACCCTGAGCCGGAGCTGGTCTCTCCAGGCTTCTACTGTTCGAACTGCTCATTCCTGGTACACATTACAGGACTCCCATCCCCAATATTCCGGTGGATTCTAACCACTCAGATCGCTCTGTACCCACACTTCATGCCCATTTATGATACCTTTATGAGGTTTTCCGCAGGAGCAAAAAAGTCATCTGTTGCGAATAAAATCTAGACAAAGAAGATAAAATAACCATAAATTAAAAACCATTTTATTTCATGCCTTGGTGAAACATTATTAGACACAGTAAATAAGACATGTGCAGTTGCCAGGGGGAGAGAAACAACAGGTAATTAACCCAGGATACTTGGTAAAGGTCCAGACCTCGTCACCCGCCTCCCCCGTCCTTCCTCCCAGCCGGTGTTCACACTCTCTCCCAGTCGGGCGCAGAGGCGCTAACTTCTTACGCTTGGTGAGAAAACCCACCAGCTCTCCTTTTCAAGAATGGGGGACACTGGGCTTTGTGACTGTCTCTCTGGCAGAGCAGTGGCCCAGGACACACCACACGGCCCCCCCTACCTCCGTGGTTTGCTGGCTCACTGAAGGACGTCCTGATGGAAGGTTGGCCGATCATTTATCAACCCCAGCAGGACATTTTGGAGAGTGAGGGCATAGCTGCTAATTGCACCAGGAAAACAGGTATAAAATGGATTTTCTGAACAAAACAAGCTGCTGTCATCCTTACCTCACCCAGGACCAGGGACGGCTGCTCTCGGTTGGCACTGGTTCCCGGGCAGCGGTCGCCAGGGGAGAAGGGACATCTGCCCCTGCCTTGGCGAGGCTGCTCGTCGTGGACCCCACAACAGCCCCTGAATGATACCATCAGACCAGCCCCCCTTGCCTGCCGACACCGGGCCGTTGCCCACCGGGTGCAGGGACCCTAGCTGGTAGGGGGCACCTAGCTTTTGGTTTAATTCGGTGTAATTAGCCTGTCATTGGTTTAGGGTGTGTTGTTTAGGAGACATTATCTTGTGTGCTATTGGCTTGCAAATTATTATTAGAAATTACAGTTTCCACAGAGAACCCGTGTTAAATAAATGACTGTGTCCGTCTCTGAGCACAGCTCGCCTCGAATGAAACGCCTGGTCTCTGACCCCTGCCCAGAACCTCAAAGGCAGGGGAAGACCTGGATATTTTGCAGTTGCTGGCTGTTTGGGACGCAAAGTGGAGGGGAGTCCCTGCCGTGCCTGGGTGGACCTGCCCCGAGGATGCGTCAGGGCAAAGCACAGGCGGGCGGACGCTAGAGCCCCTCGCCTGTCCAGCTCTTCCTTGGCAAAAGCCCTCTGCGGGCGCACGGGGCCTTTCCAACCTCCTGAGGCTCCTGCTCCCCAGCACCAGCTGACGACTTCCAGAAACACGAAACCAAGGAGCACGCGGTGCTTCCCCTGCCCGGCGTCCCCCTCCGCCCGGCGTCCCAACAGAAACCGCCCCTCGCCCCTTTGCCCCGCCGGCCCCCTCTCCCACTTGAAGCCTCCTTGGAGCACCACTCGCCCGGACGGGCTTCCCATCCCTTCCCGCTCCCTCCGGCTGCCCCCGGCCGGCGGAGATGCGTGCCCCCAGCCCCTGCCCTTGCCTTGACTCCCAGGTCTGTCTCCTTTTTTTTTTTTTTTTTAATTTCTTTTCAGTGTTCCAGAGTTCATTGTTTATGCACCACACCCAGGGCTCCATGCACTCCGTGCCCTCCACAATACCCACCACCAGGCCCTCCCAGCCGCCCCCACTTCCCTCCAAAACCCTGTTTCTCAGAGTCCACAGTCTCTCATGGTCCGTCTCCCGCTCCGACTTCCCCCAACTCCCTTCTCCTCTCCATCTCCCCATGTCCTCCGTGTTACTCCTTGTGCTCCACGAGTAAGCGAAACCATACGGTAACGGGCTCTCTCTGCTTGACGTAGTTCACCTGAGGGCGCGGCCTCGGGTCTGCGCCGCCCACGGCCCGCGCCTCGCTGGTGCTCGGAGCCCTGGCCCGGAGCCTGGAGCTAACGAGGGCTGCAGGTTACGCCTGCGCTCACGGGCGGGAACCACCAATCAACACTGAGAAAACATGCAGGACAGAGAACCCCTCGCGTGGACGCAAAATGTCTGTCTGTTCTAAGCTTAAAACAATGCTGCCGTGGCCAGAATTGTCACCAGTTTTTAAAAGATTGTTTGGCATTTTTGAGCCGGATTCTTGCCGTTCTAAGCAGGTTCTCTGCAGAGGGGGAGTTGGTCCTTAGCATGTGGGCACACGGACCACTCGCTCGTCCATGAGACACCCCCACCCCACTTACCTTTCCTCCTACAGACTCAGACGCCATGTCCGCCAGCTGGGTGAAGTCCGGACCCCCGGCCGGTTTTCCCTCCCTGGGAGAGTCAGCCGCGCTTCCTGGCAACGAGAAGGAGGCTCAGTCAGCCGGGGTGAGAGGCCGGCAGGACGGTGCGAGCGAGTGAGGCCTCCCCCGGGCTCCCAGCCCAACACCTGACCGTCAACCGGAGGGGGCAGGTGCCTGCCCACCAAGGGTCCCTACAAGTGACTTTGCACGAACACAGCGACCCAGGAGGGAATTAGAGCCTGCTTTCCCTCTGAAGCACATAAGAACAACATACCACTACATACATAAGCCCTACTGCCTCAAATCGCAATTTTTTTTTAATTTTATTTTTTATAAACATATATTTTTTTCCCCCAGGGGTACAGGTCTGTGAATCTCCACATTTACACACTTCACAGCACTCACTATAGCACATACCCTACCCAATGTCCATACCCCCCCCAACCCCCCTCCGCCCACCAACCCTCAGTTTGTTTTGTGAGATTAAGAGTCACTTATGGTTTGTCTCCCTCCCAATCCCAACTTGTTTCATTTACTCTTCTCCTACCACATTAACCCCCCATGTTGCATCTCCTCTCCCTCATATCAGGGAGATCATATGATAGTTGTCTTTCTCCGATTGACTTATTTCGCTAAGCATGATACCCTCTAGTTCCATCCACGTTGTCGCAAATGGCAAGATTTCATTTCTTTTGATGGCTGCATAGTATTCCATTGTATATATATACCACATCTTCTTTATCCATTCATCTGTTGATGGACATCTAGGTTCTTTCCATAGTTTGGCTATTGTAGACATTGCTGCTATAAACATTCGGGTGCACGTGCCCCTTCGGATCACTACGTTTGTATCTTTAGGGTAAATACCCAGCAGTGCAATTGCTGGGTCATAGGGTAGTTCTATTTTCAACATTTTGAGGAACCTCCACGCAGTTTTCCAGAGTGATTGCACCAGGTTGCATTCCCACCAACAGTGTAGGAGGGTTCCCCTTTCTCCGCATCCTCGCCAGCATCTGTCATTTCCGGACTTGTTAATTTTAGCCATTCTGACTGGTGTGAGGTGGTATCTCATTGTGGTTTTGATTTGTATTTCCCTGATGCCGAGTGATATGGAACACTTTTTCATGTGTCTGTTGGCCATCTGGATGTCTTCTTTGAAGAAATGTCTGCTCATGTCTTCTGCCCATTTCTTGATTGGATTATTTGTTCTTTGGGTGTTGAGTTTGCTAAGTTCTTTATAGATTCTGGACACTAGCCCTTTATCTGATATGTCGTTTGCAAATATCTTCTCCCATTCTGTCAGTTGTCTTTTGGTTTTGTGAACTGTTTCCTTTGCTGTGCAAAAGCTTTTGATCTTGATAAAATCCCAATAGTTCATTTTTGCCCTTGCTTCCCTTGCCTTTGGCGATGTTCCTAGGAAGATGTTGCTGCGGCTGAGGTCAAAGAGGTTGCTGCCTGTGTTCTCCTCAAGGATGTTGATGGATTCCTTTCTCACATTGAGGTCCTTCATCCATTTTGAGTCTATTTTCGTGTGTGGTGTAAGGAAATGATCCAATTTCATTTTTCTGCATGTGGCTGTCCAATTTTCCCAACACCATTTATTGAAGAGGCTGTCTTTTTTCCATTGGACATTGTTTCCTGCTTTGTCGAAGATTAGTTGACCATAGAGTTGAGGGTCTATTTCTGGGCTCTCTATTCTGTTCCATTGATCTATGTGTCTGTTTTTGTGCCAGTACCATGCTGTCTTGATGATGACAGCTTTGTAATAGAGCTTGAAGTCCGGAATTGTGATGCCACCAACTCTGGCTTTCTTTTTCAATATTCCTTTGGCTATTCGAGGTCTTTTCTGGTTCCATATAAATTTTAGGATTATTTGTTCCATTTCTTTGAAAAAAATGGATGGTACTTTGATAGGAATTGCATTAAATGTGTAGATTGCTTTAGGTAGCATAGACATTTTCACGATATTTATTCTTCCAATCCAGGAGCATGGACCATTTTTCCATTTCTTTGTGTCTTCCTCAATTTCTTTCATGAGTACTTTATAGTTTTCTGTGTATAGATTCTTAGTCTCTTTGGTTAGGTTTATTCCTAGGTATCTTATAGTTTTGGGTGCAATTGTAAATGGGATGGACTCCTTAATTTCTCTTTCTTCTGTCTTGTTGTTGGTGTAGAGAAATGCAACTGATTTCTGTGCATTGATTTTATATCCTGACACTTTACTGAATTCCTGTACAAGTTCTAGCAGTTTTGGAGTGGAGTCTTTTGGCTTTTCCACATATAGTATCATATCATCTGCGAAGAGTGATAGTTTGACTTCTTCTTTGCCGATTTGGATGCCTTTAATTTCTTTTTGTTGTCTGATTGCTGAGGCTAGGACTTCTAGTACTATGTTGAATAGCAGTGGTGATAACGGACATCCCTGCCGTGTTCCTGACCTTAGCGGAAAAGCTTTCAGTTTTTCTCCATTGAGAATGATATTTGCGATGGGTTTTTCATAGATGGCTTTGATAATATTGAGGTATGTGCCCTCTATCCCTACACTTTGAAGAGTTTTGATCAGGAAGGGATGCTGTACTTTGTCAAATGCTTTTTCAGCATCTATTGAGAGTATCATATGTTCCTGTTCTTTCTTTTATTAATGTGTTGTATCACATTGATTGATTTGCGGATATTGAACCAACCTTGCAGCCCTGGAATAAATCCCACTTGGTCGTGGTGAATAATCCTTTTAATGTACTGTTGAATCCTATTGGCTAGTATTTTGGTGAGAATTTTTGCATCTGTGTTCATCAAGGATATTGGTCTGTAGTTCTCTTTTTTGATGGGATCCTTTTCTGGTTTGGGGATCAAGGTGATGCTGGCCTCATAAAATGAGTTTGGAAGTTTTCCTTCCATTTCTATTTTTTGGAACAGTCTCAGGAGAATAGGAATTAGTTCTTCTTTAAATGTTTGGTAGAATTCCCCCGGGAAGCCGTCTGGCCCTCGGCTTTTGTTTGTTTGGAGATTTTTGATGACTGTTTCAATCTCCTTACTGGTTATGGGTCTGTTCAGGCTTTCTATTTCTTCCTGGTTCAGTTGTAGTAGTTTATATGTCTCTAGGAATGCATCCATTTCTTCCAGATTGTCAAATTTGTTGGCATAGAGTTGCTCATAATATGTTCTTATAATTGTCTGTATTTCTTTGGTGTTCGTTGTGATCTCTCCTCTTTCATTCATGATTTTATTTATTTGGGTCCTTTCTCTTTTCTTTTTGTTAAGTCTGGCCAGGGGTTTATCAATCTTATTAATTCTTTCAAAGAACCAGCTCCTAGTTTCGTTGATTTGTTCTATTGTTTTTTTGGTTTCTATTTCATTGATTTCTGCTCTGATCTTTATGATTTCTCTTCTCCTGCTGGGTTTAGGGTTTCTTTCTTGTTCTTTCTCCAGCTCCTTTAGGTGTAGGGTTAGGTTGTGTACCTGAGACCTTTCTTGTTTCTTGAGAAAGGCTTGTACCGCTATATATTTTCCTCTCAGGACTGCCTTTGTTGTGTCCCACAGATTTTGAACGGTTGTATTTTCATTATCATTTGTTTCCATGAATTTTTTCAATTCTTCTTTAATTTCCTGGGTGACCCATTCATTCTTTAGAAGGATGCTCTTTAGTCGCCATGTATTTGGGTTCTTTCCAAATTTCCTCTTGTGATTGAGTTCTAGCTTCAGAGCATTGTGGTATGAAAATATGCAGGGAATGATCCCAATCTTTTGATAACAGTTGAGACCTGATTTAGAACCAAGGATGTGATCTATTCTGGAGAATATTCCATGTGCACTAGAGAAGAATGTGTATTCTGTTGCTTTGGGATGAAATGTTCTGAATATATCTGTGATGTCCATGTGGTCCAGTGTGTCCTGTAAGGCCTTTATTTCCTTGTTGATCTTTTGCTTGGATGATCTGTCCATTTCAGTGAGGGGAGTGTTAAAGTCCCCTACTATTATTGTATGATTGTCGATGTGTTTCTTTGATTTTGTTATTAATTGGTTTATATAGTTGGCTGCTCCCACGTTAGGGGCATAGATATTTACAATTGTTAGATCTTCTTGTTGGACAGATCCTTTGAGTATGATATAGTGTCCATCTTCATCTCTTATTATAGTCTTTGGTTTAAAATCTAAGTGACCTGATATAAGGATTGCCACTCCTGCTTTCTTCTGATGTCCATTAGCATGGTATATTCTTTTCCACCCCCTCACTTTAAATCTGAAGGTGTCTTCGGGTTTAAAATGAGTTTCTTGTAGGCAACATATAGATGGGTTTTGTTTTTTTATCCATTCTGATACCCTGTGTCTTTTGATTGGGGCATTTAGCCCATTAACATTCAGGGTAACTATTGAGAGATATGAATTTAGTGCCATTGTATTGCCTGTAAGGTGACTGTTATTGTATATTGTTTCTGTATCTTTCTGATCTACTACTTTTAGGCTCTCTCTTTGCTTAGAGGATCCCTTTCAATATTTCCTGTAGAGCTGGCTTGGTGTTTGCAAATTCTTTCAGTTTTTGTTTGTCCTGGAAGCTTTTAATCTCTCCTTCTATTTTCAATGATAGCCTAGCTGGATATAGTATTCTTGGCTGCATGTTTTTCTCGTTTAGTGCTCTGAATATATCATGCCAGCTCTTTCTGGCCTGCCAGGTCTCTGTGGATAAGTCTGCTGCCAATCTAATATTTTTACCATTGTATGTTACAGACTTCTTCTCCCGGGCTGCTTTCAGGATTTTCTCTTTGTCACTAAGACTTGTAAATTTTACTATTAGGTGACGGGGTGTGGACCTATTCTTATTGATTTTGAGTGGGGTTCTCTGAACCTCCTGGATTTTGATGCTTGTTCCCTTTGCCATATTGGGGAAATTCTCTCCAATAATTCTCTCCAATATACCTTCTGCTCCCCTCTCTCTTTCTTCTTCTTCTGGAATCCCAATTATTCTAATGTTGTTTCGTCTTATGGTGTCACTTATCTCTCGAATTCTGCCCTCGTGGTCCAGTAGTTGTTTGTCCCTCTTTTGTTCAGCTTCTTT